GAACACTTCAGTAGCTGCATCGATAGCAAATAAGTATGACATAAAAGATTCACAAATCAAATATGTCATACAGAAAGTTAACAATTGAAAGATTAGAACGTATACTAGATTAAGATGTAATCTAGTTAAGTGGTCACAACGCATAACAACTTCTAACAGAATTTCAATGGTTTATAGAAGTAAATGCTTCCTGTGTGAGGGGCCATTAGAAGATTTAGAACATTGCTTGGGTTAATACAACCCAGATCGACAAATAAAGTAGGTCCTAAAATTTTTCATTTTTTCAAAAAAATAAAATTCAGAAGATTGAAAACAAAAGAGTTACAAAAAATATTTTAAACAAATTGTTTTGCCCTAGAAAGTAACATTCTTGTTTCAAATATTTTTCAACAATACTTTTAGTTTCAGTAATATTATATTTATTATTTTTTTTCTTATATGTTGCACGCCTTACTTCTGCTCTGGGCTGTCTAGCAAAATTATGATTACAATTTTTGTTTTCCATTTCTTTTTTCTTTTTAGCCTTCCATTAAAATTTTTTATTTAGGGTTGGTTATTTTGCTTCTTGCGATTGCGGAAACTTAAAGTTTTAGTTTTAAAACAACTTATTAAAGTTTATTGTCATAGGACGGCTAAGACACAAATATAGAATTATATACGGATCATGTGTAATTTTGCACAGAAACCGTTTTAATTAAAAAAAAAGTTTGAATATGTAAGATGTCAGAGTAAAATTTGTTCTAGATACAGAAAAAAAATATCAATTTGGAAGAATCAAATTTTGCTGAAGTTTAAATTTCAAAAATAACGCTGTTACCTCTTTATTTCCTAAAGGTAATGGTTGGATTACAGAAGACTTAGATTTCTTATTAAACATTATTTATTTTAATTCTGCTTAAATACTTTTATTTTCATCCTAAACACTTTGTGTCTCAGAGTTTTGTTTTATATTTGATCGTTTTACTTTAAGCGTGAATATTGGGTAATTTTCTATCAGCAGTGACAAACGTTTTTTAAAATAGTAAAGCTGTGGTTAGCAAATCTAATTAAATTGCTTTTATATTGCGATCCTCAAGAAATTGTGCTTATAAGGTTTTTAAGGCGGTTTTAAAGAAATTAGTGACAAAATTTTATTCTAATTCAAATTGCATAGGAAACGAAAGTGAAATCATTAAAATCGACGAATTAAAATTGGAAAAGGAAAATATAATAAAGGACATCTGAGAAGGTGTTTGGATTTTTGGGATGGTTAAATGAGCACATAACAATAGAGTCTTATTATTTCAGGTTAATGACAAAATTAAATTGATCTTTAGATTGCATTTAAGTAAATGCGTAGCATAAATTTGATATTAATTAGCGATTGCTGAAAAGGGTACACCAATTTACAAAAGATTGGTGTAAGGCACTCAACAGTTGATCATTATAGATATTTTAAATATCTAAATACAGTAGTTAACATCAATACAATAAAAGGATGTTGGTCTGCTTGAAAAAAATAATACATTAGGCGTAGGACCAGAAAGCTGATTAGTCCTTATTTGATTCGATCTATACTGTTAAAAATTACAAAATTAACCCTTATATAGTTGTTTAGGTTTTTTTTAAATCCAATTTAGAAGATTGAATTTTTATGAAATACTAGCTTGCGCTATCCCCCTGATAACGGGACTCAAACTCGATACGTGCTTTCTTTGTTTAAATTATGTGTATATGTCTTTGTGCATGTATGTATTGTTTATTATTGAACATTGCACATTTTAATTATAAAATGACAATAGTGCGTATTTTACAATTTAGATAATTGAATAAAACTAAAGGAAAAATATATTAGAAAAATTAAGCTTTATATAATATAATCAACTATGAAAGATTGTTATTTATTTAAAAAACGTTTTCCAAAATTTGAAAAAAAAGGATAAAAAATAAAAAAATGTTCAGATTCAAACTTTTTATATATAGACTAGATAACGCTATCCCGTTTGAAACGGGATTATAAATAAATAATATTCTTATTTTCCATTGTGTAACATGTCTTTAGGCTTGTGCGCATTGTTTAAAGTACAAAATGTCTTACATTGTAAAGTAAAATTTGCAATAGTTACCATTTTGCAATTACAAAAAAATTGAAAAAAACTTAATAAAATACACGAAACCTCGTAATATCTTTTTAGTAACAATTCTATAAAAATCTCTAAGTTGTATTTTGGTGCTTTTAAATGAAAAATTAAAGCAGAACTTCACAATTTTAAAAAAAGGTGGGTTAAAAAATAAAAAAATGTTAAGATTCAAACTTTTTATAATGATAGATAGACTAGCTTACGCTATCCCGTTAAAAACGGGATTTCGAAGTTATACTAGTTTATGTAATTTTTTTTAAATGTACAGTATGTCATTGTAATAACTCTTTTTGTAATAAATTTAAATTTTAAAATTGGCTTTTACAGTGTCTATATACATAAAAGTTTGATTATAAATATGACAAAAAGGAAAAGGATACAATAAATAAAACTTTACCTTAACGTTACTGCCTACAAAAAAAATATTGCATAAATTTTAAAAAAGAAGGGTTAAAAAATAAATAAATATTCCGATTAAAAGTTTTTGTATATATTGATTTTTTACTGTTCTCAATCTTTTAAATTTCACTTTCTGGGGTAAAAAATAAAAAATTTTAGGACCCACATTTTTATATGATCTGGATTACAAACTCCTAAATTCAACCCTAAGAAAGAAGAAGCAGATAAAGCAATTTAGTAAAGGAATGAAAAATAATTATAAGGCGAACAGTAACATTCAGAGAAAATTATTTAGCATCGGGTCGAAAAATCTATTAATTAAAAAATATTTGGAATTATATTATAAACTTAGTTTTATTCCCAGTATTAATTTCAATTATGCAACATTTTTTAAAAAAAATCCTAATTTCATAATAACATCAATAAGATCTAATAATAGAACAAATGAATAGTTAAAACCTAGATGAAATAAAAAATTGAATGGATTGGTGCCAATAAATTGGTATATTGTGGTGCAATTTACGCAGAGTTTTTGATAAAAATAGGGATGTCGTAAGATTATTAAACAGACTGTAGTAAAAAAAATATAAACCATTCACTTAGCAATATGTTCCAAGTTTTATACCAGTATTTTTAAATTTTATATTTTTATCGAAAACAAGTCTTTTGGAAAAAATTAATTAACGTTTTAAAATCGTAAGTGTTGACATTTTTCGCTTTATAAGTTTTTCAAAAAACTTCTATGTTTTGTATGTAGATTTACGCATCATTTAAGTTAACAAAATGCAAACAGTGATTTACTACCGAGTGGTTGCATTTAAGCAAACTCAAATCAGCATAGCCACGTCAACTATCTATCATAATTTTTGTTCTAACGCTACTACCGTCTAAAACAAAACGTTCACAGATCGATTTTGTATGTTGCCTCACAATTTTAATTACGATTTGTTTTGTTTTACGACTAAAACAGCTGATAGCCCGATAGCGCTCGCCTGCTAAAATTTGCCTATGACCATTGCGCCGAAAACTGATGTGCGTTTCGTCATTTCAACAACGTCTTTTTCACCCAACACTTTTGGAAACCATAAAGATGACTTTGCATTATCGACTTTTGCATGAACTATACCAATAATTCGATACACACATTTTTCTTAGGTTTCGCATTCACTGACGACGTCTATCCCCTTTGCCCTAAACAGTGGTGTCGTGCCCTTGGGGAAGAATGTCGAACTTAAAATAGTTTTCTAAAAGACTTTTGATTGTAAACACTTTATTTCAAGACCGTTTTTCTTTAAGCCGGTCATAAGAGAATTTTCGTAATTCTTCTCGTTTATTTATTCGTATTGGGGCTAAAAAAACTAAACTATTTATAAGAACAAATTAATAAAAATTCTAGGCATGTAGTAAGAATACTACGAGTGAATATATATAATTTGCAGCACGATAGATATTTTAGCTTTTGCATAATAAAAAATTGTACCTGTATACAAAGCTTCCGTTTTTTTGCAAAATGTTGATTACAGCGAAATCAGCCTTCAACATTATGGCATAGCTCGACCTTTTTCATGCGCATTATACTTCCCACAGCTACATACTTTAGAAGATATGTTGATTGGCCGGGTATCTACACCCAATTAAAGGAGCTTTCTTATGTTTCTGTTCTTTTTGCAGGTTCAAAAAGATTTATCATGAAGGGCAAAAAATTTGTTAAAAATTCTGTCTCCCTGAATCAAAAGGAATTATTAAAAAAACAATAATTTTTAGAAAATGTTCTAAATTTGTTAAAAATAAAAACTATTTATTAAAAAAACTTGATTTATCAATTAAGATAAACAAAAACTACACATTTAATTATTAACTCAAGCAGTTTAGGCTACTGTTGTTAAATAAATTAACATTCTTAGTATGCAATTTATTTGTTTAATTATCGTTTTTTAATTTATAAAAAAATATACATTTTTTATCTACTTAAAGTTTTGTAAATATGATTTAAGATTTAAATTTCTCTAACAGCTACTGATTTATATCAAAATGATAAATTGTTTATAAATTATTTTTACAGACCCTTTATACTGCAATGAAAATTACATTATTAGTGATATTTTTTGCTCATTTAAAATCTAGTAAAAATATTTATGACAATCTATTAGACATTGTTAAGCAGAAAATTAAAACTAAAGAATATTATTTAATTGATTTAGAAAAAAGATATCATGTCTTCGAAGTCAGGATTTATGATAACAAGATTAATTTTTTAGAATATATAAAGGAAGCATATGGATCGAAGTTTAGTTACGCAATAACACGCAAAGTTAAGTATAATACTCCAGATGAAGCAATTAAAGCGATTTGTGATTATCATCTTTCAAGCAATTTAAATATATCAAAGAAAATTACACTTATTTCTAAATTTAATTTTTGTACTTCTAGGCATGAAATTAAGTTTAATCTTGAGAATTTTTTTTATAATGGGGTTGAACCCGACTTTTTTGCTAGATTATATGATAATAACAAACAAAAACAAATAAGAGAGCTTTGTTTAAGTTTTATCAGAAACAAAACAGTAGATCTTAATTTATGCTTTTTTGTTGGAAAATATTCGATTAACGACACTATCCAATGCTTTGAAGAAGAAAACAAGATACAAATTTCTTTTCCTGTAAAATTAAGAAATTTAATGCTTTTTTTTAAAATTGACGTCAAAGATTTGTACACTGTAGAAGAACAATATACAAGTGAATTAATAAAGTTACATAAAAATAACAGTAACAATAATATTTGTACAGAGATATGCACTTTAATTACTAAAATTTTTACATTTTCTGATTTTGTGTCACACTTTAAATTATTAAATGAGGTAAACGATGATGCTGAGAAAAAAAAACTTAGAGAAATGTTATCACGTAATATTGAGAAGAAACTTTTTACCGTTATGTTTTTAGAAAAAGATATATTTTTTAAAAATTCAGGTACATTGTTTTGTTATTCTTATGATAATCCCTTAGAGATTAAGGGAAATTGTCAGCACATTTCAAAAGAAGCATATCAAGATTGCATTGAAATTTTAAAATTATCTACGGAAGCTAAGGCCTTTGATTTTGTACAATACAAAATTATTTTTCATAAATTTAAAAATGAAAATCTACTAAATCATCTACTATATAAAATTTGTGAACGTCCGGGTTCTGGTTCTTATATTATATTAATGCAAATTTTAGGCCATTATAAGATTTTAAACGAAAGTGAAGTTATTTTTTTTACACGAAGTATAAATGAGAATAATAGAGAGCAAATGATTGCGTTTCTGCAAAATTTTTTTACTAAAGAAAAACTTTCTAAGATTCATTTTATGATGACTGCGGTGAGTGAAAAAGTTAATAATTTGTTATATACTCTTATTTATAAAGAAGCTGAGGAATATTTTAGTATTTATAAAAAGAGTGATATTTTTAATATTGAATTTTTTAATGATATACGAAAGTTTTCTGATTTATATTTATGTCTGAATAATAAAACGTTATATGATTTTTATAGCATCTTAATTGGGAATTCACGATCTATAATTACATTGGGTGCAAAAACATTGTCACAATTATTTGAAAGTATAGCATTATTAACCAATTTAGACGTTAGATACCGCATAGGAGGAAAGCATGTTTATTTTTTTAAAGTAGAGGCTGAGAAAATGTTTCAAATCTTAAATATTGACAATCCCGAGAATTTAGAAAATTACGTTGAAAGTTTAATTAAATGATTTTAATTTATAAAACTGTAGATTTTATACATTTAGATTTCACAGTAGTTTTAGTCGTTGTTGTTAAATATATTTTTTTTTGTATTTACAACAGTACTCTTAAGTTTAAAATTTTAGATAACTTGCTTCTTGTTAACTTTTATTAGTCACAAATACGAGTTTGTTGCATTTTATTGTTACTCTTTCAATTAATTTGTTAATTATTTATGGATATAAATGCATATACAATTTGTATATTTCAACACACTTTGTTTTTTTCGCTTCACACATTATGTATTCAGTTATCAAAAAAATTTTATTAAATATATATCATTTTTTTTATTTACTTATCTCAGACATGTGAAATTTTAAATGTAAAATAATCAATTTTTATGAGATAATAAAAAATTTGAGCGAAAAGATTATAATGATTCTTAGTTTTTATATTACCAGGTATGAGCTCGACGCGATTTAATTTTTGAGTAAATTATCTGTCCTCAGATTTTAAAAAGTGTCAAATTTTTTTCGTTTGGCCTAGCGAAATATTTTCTATAGTATAAAAATGGTTTTTATAATATCATTAAAGTTTTTTTGTAATAATAAATAACATCACAACATGCATTAAACTTATATCGTTTTGATTTAATTTATTGAAAACATTAGATTTCAATTCAGTTCAACTGACTGTTCTCCAAAAGAATTGTTTCTATTTTTTTCATTACAATACATTTATATTCTTTTTTTTAATATTTAATACAGCTCTGTTACAAGTTTTGTAAATTGTATTATATCGTTATTGTCAAAATATATTATTTTATTTCAATATTATTAGTATTTACAATCCACAAAAATCTTTTTTAATACTTTCTTTCTTATTTTGTTTATACACAAAATTAATGCTTGCTCCTTTAGATGTTTTTTGTTTAGTAATATTCTTATATCTTCATTTGTTGCAGGTATATTTGTATGTTAGAGACTTTTCTCATTTAAAAACTTTTGTGATATACTTCACAATTTTGATTTATTTTTGTAAATTTATGCTATATTGTTGTGTAAATATAAAAACTTTAAATAAAAATTTTAACCTCAAGGAAGATACAGACATGTAAAAATCTATTATTGGAGACGATTAGAATGGAGTATAGGTGGGGATCATTGCTTTAAATCATTATGTGAATAAACAACACTTTAGCAACATATTTCCACTTTGAATATCTCAATTTACTTTGTACAACTAGTTTCTGCATCAAAAAAATACAAAAAAGATAGAATTAATTTTCCACTCAAGAATAAGGGATTTATAAATTAAAATATAAATTATTACATTTTACCATTTTAAACTTCTTCGTTAATATCATCACATAGTTAACTTACCAATGCACTATAAACCTTTTTAATTCAATATTAAAATTTTAAATTATTGTACTTATTTAAAAAACTTGGATTTTTCTAAAGCGCAAAATAAATTAATTTTTGCTTAAATATAATAATTTGTTTGGATATATAAAATCTATAAGTTAAATTTCTAATATTGTTATGTAATATTTTATATTAGAATAGAAAATTTTTATAAATTTTAAAAAATAAAAATGCCCATGAACAAATTTAATGTAATAAATTTGATATCTTTAATTTATTCGTTACAAATAATTCCAGCCGACTCACAAATATATAAAATGTATGAAATCGATTTGCGAAGTTTTGGATCAACAAAATATGATTTTTTTATCAAAAATTTTGTCTCATCAGATGGTAATAATAAATTTATAACTGAAGTTCAATCACCGCGATCTAATATCACAGGATTTGTTTGTATTCATGCCAGTTCAACAACCACTGATTATATTAAAAACTTATATTGTTTTTATGGAAATTTTACCAACACTGATCAGATATTTTACCAATTTTATTTTAATACAATTCTAGGACAAAACAATATTCTTAACATACAAATCCCTACAATACTATTAAATAATGCACTAGAATCTCAGTATGATATTATAGTCAAAAAAATTTCCGATAATAGGAGCGATATAAATTCAAACATAAAAAGTATTTTTGTAGAATTTGTAGTGTCTAATAAGGCTAAAATAATTTCGTTGTCTATTCAACTTCTCAATGATTTAATAAACAATCCTGTATCAAAGATTATTCATTCTTTAGAAAACAAAGATTATATTTTAGCTTTTTTTGAAAGAGATTATAATAAGATAATTAATTTCTTAGAAGAATTTATTTCGTTATTACAAGAAGATAATTCATTTATACGCTATGATTTATTATTATTTTTGATAAATTTTACAAAAAATAATTTAAGTAATTTTTGGAAAAATGAACTTAGGCTCTCCGGTATGAATTTTGATAGTTTTAAAGATATTCACTTGTTGAATTGCCTTTATTCAGATATAAGTAACTTATTTTGTTTAATTGAGGATCCAAATTGCAAATTTGAACTTTTTGATTACGATCAAAATTGTGGATTGATTTTTGGTCATCTTTATATTACCGTTGCAATTTACTTCCAAGAAGATATAGAAGAAAAAAATTTAGAGTGCTTTGCTTACGACATGAATAAAAACGAACTAAACTTTAAACATGTGATTGATATAAATAAGAGATTTATTTTTTTTATGTTTGAACCACTTTATTTGAAAGAATCTAATATTACACAAATAGATTGCATAGTTCAAACCCCCAAAAAACACTATGAATCGCTTAATATTAATTTAATTAATTACTTATAATAAAATTTTAGTAATATTCCTTCTTAAATTTTTTACATTAAAAATTTTTTTGTGCCATCAAACTTTTAATATAAAGTTTTATTAAAAAAATAATGGTTTTTACCAAAAATATTACTATTTTAATTAATTCTTAAAAATAATAGATTATTGTACCTTGTCTATTAGTTTAATTTAATCAACTTTTTAACTGTTCAAAAAGCAGCTTATTTGAAGCCCGAATGTATTTCAACTTAAGAGGCCGTGGTGATATTATATTACCGCATGTTTCTTCTTTTATGTTTGTTTGTTTTGTCAACAAATAAAACTATAATAGAAATTTATCTTTAATACTATGTATGCACACGGAGATAACCAACGAGTTAATCATTCCAAAAGAACGAGAGAAGATAGAACCCGAATAGCATTCCGGGAGAATGTAAATAAACATTATTCTAGTAACACTATTTCTCATTCTAACTTTAAATCTCGAGGAACGTCAGGAACAGGCTTACGTATACTTAGTGTAATCGAGATCTATCTCTCCACTGGCCGCATTCTGACAGTTACTACAGAGGTAAAAACAAGTATTAATATTAAATATAAGCAAAAAATTGTTAGTCGGGTTTTTACTTTATAAAAGTTAAAAAGTAATGCGCATTATTGAAAGATAATATGACTCGATTTGGAACACACAATAACAATAAATTAATTTTTAAATTTAATTTTTTGTCACAATCTTTTGACTTTGAATAAGATACAGCTCTTAATTTTAATTTTCGTATTATCCAATAATTCGTTTTAAAAAAAATAAATATACAATTTTGAAGAAATTATTTTCTAACATAATACTAATATAAAGGACTTCATTTTCTAACATCTGAATTATATACGGATAAGAAAAAAAAAAATTTATAATTTAATCTGCCTTTGTTGGAATTTTGTTAAATTATGTATTACCTTTTTTATAAAAGCATTAACATTATTATTAAGTTTTATATGAACAAAATAGTATTTATTTGCATTTTTAATTTGTAAATAATTTTATTTTCATAAAGTGTATCTCATTCAAAATTTTATTTTTAAGTAAGAAAGAGAATTTATAAAATTTAAAAATAAAGACATAAGTAAAAGACATAACATATTTTTAAAAATTCTATCATTTAAAATGCCTTTAAATAGACAAAATAAGCCATATAATTATTAAAAAGATCTTGATGTCAGGCTTCTGTAGCGCAATGGTTAGCGCGTTCGGCTGTTAACCGAAAGGTTGAGAGTTCGAGTCTCTCCAGAAGCGTTTTTTTGTATCCTGTAAATATGGAAAAGTTATTAGTAAAGTAGATTAATTTACCATGCTTTTTATAATGTATTCTACTTTTACATTTTAGATGTATAAAAAATTACTAATTTGTACGCTCTTTTAGACAAATAAACATTTATATAAGGCTTTATAAGAGAAAAAAACTTTATTTACCTAATTTGTATGATAAAAAATATTGTAAATTTGTAGAAAACTTTTTTTGTCCTTCAATATCATTTTTATAGACTTCTATATTATTTTCATCAATGTAAATTATTTTATCAAATTTATTAATAAGTTCTAGATTATGAATTATCATCAAAACTGTTCGATCTTCCTGTTGTAAAATTATCTCTAAAATCTTTTTTTCAGACTCCTTATCAAGTGCTGCAGTGGGTTCATCTAATGCCATTATCTCCTTGTTTCTTAACATAGTACGCATTAATAAAATCTTTTGCTTTTCTCCACCACTTAATAACCTTCCTCTTTCTCCTACATTCGTATCAAAACCATTTTCGAGGTTCATGAAAACGTCATATAATCCAAACTCTTTACACAATGCAAAAATATCCTCGTCTGAAATACCAAAAGATCCGTATTTAATATTATATTTTACAGATTCATTAAACAAAAATGTATTCTGTGGTATGTAACCTAATAAATTCCTATAAAATTCGTCTTTGATTTTTTTAATATCAATGTCATCTATTAAAATGCTACCTTTGTAATCTTCATCAAATTTAAGCAGTAGTTTTAGTAATGTTGATTTACCACTACCATTTTTACCTATAATTGCTACTTTTTCTCCTTTGTATATTTCTAGATTTATTTTATTAAAAATTTGTCTACTTTCATAACCAAATGACAAATTATTAAACTTAATACTTTCTTTAAATTCTGTAATCTTAAACTTATTATTCTCTTTTTTTATATCTAACATTGTATCATAAGTAGATCTTGCATTAATTATTGCTTGTGTATATCTAGTGTATAAGTAACCCAAGTTACTTAAATTAATAGTAACCGTAGATGTAATGGACATTAAATAAATGAGTTGGTTAGATGACATATTTTGAGATAATATTCCTGATATTCCTGCATAAATAATAAAAAAACTTTGTAAGAGAAAAATTGCTCTCTGAGATAAATTTAAAATGTACAGTGCTCTCCATAATCTGTTACTATTAGATGCATTAATTTTTAGAAAATGATCATATTCATCTACTTCAAGATCTGTAGTCCCAAAGGAGACGATTGTTTCATGATTATTTAATCCATCTTGTAGTTTATTACTAGATCTATTTTCAGAGTTATTAAGTTCTCTTCTAATATTAGATCTCCATTGTGCTATCAATATAGTCACAGTCGCATAGCAAGAAACACAAACAAACATTATGAAGCCCGCAAGACCTCCCATATTTTTTATAACTGCAATAAGGGCAAATAAAAGTTTAAGGCATATTGGAAGCAAGCTTGTAAGAAACACTTCAATAAGTTCACTTGCAGATTTTGATTTTCTATCTATTATTGTTTGAATTTCTCCGCCACCTATGGTACTAAAATTTTTAGGTGAAAGAGAAATGAAGCCTTTGAATGTAGATTTTGCCGTATTTCTATAAATATATTGCACTACACCTGTAAAAATAAATCCATTAAGTTCGGTCAATACAGCCACTAAGAGTGACTGTAACACAAATCTTTCAAGTGCTGTGTGTTCACCTTTTCGATTTGCGATAGATTGATTAAGATTCTTTACTAATGTACTTATTTTTATCTCTAAAACAGTGTAAAATATAGTTAAAAATATTATTGGTACAATAACATATCGCAACATTCTTATTTTTAATAAATCATTGTAAATAATTTCTTTGATAATTTTTCTATTCGAAATTTTTTTCATCCTATGGTTGTTTTGAATTTTAAAATATTTATATGTTTGAATAAAACAAAAAAAAAATAAATAGTTTTAAAAAATGTGATGCATAACATAAGCATAAAATTTTGCAAATTTATATAATAAAAAACATATTAATTTTATTTAATTTTCTGTCTGTGAAATATAAACATATCAGTTTAGTAATCTTGTTTAAAAAAACTTAATTATTTTTTAATAAATAAATTAAAGATATAAATTACAGGATTTTAAAATTTATGGTGTTCACTAAAAATTAAAATATTTAAATAAAGTAAAAACCTAATCAATTGAAAATCATCATAAAACAAATACAAATTTTGATGTTTGTTAAAATAAAACTTATTGTTAGATTGTTTTGTTAATATAACTTTTTATTCACAAATTTATTCGTTGTTTAAAATATCTGCAAAATACTTTGAATTTTCTTCAAGTTTTTTGTTAATGTCTTCTATCATTGTTACCTCATTACCATTTACAAATAAAATTTTATCAAACAAAGCCAATAATTCTAGATTGTGTACAATTATTACAAAAGTATGGTACTTAAATTCATTAAAAATATATGTCATAGTTTCTAGTTCACTCTTTTTATCTAGTGCTGAGGTTGGCTCGTCTAATAAAACGATCTCTGAATTTTTAAGCAATGCACGCATCAGCATAATTTTTTGCCTTTCACCACCAGATAAAAATCTTCCGCGTTCACCGACCGATGTGCTAAACCCATCTTTAAATTCCTGTATAGACTCTAATACACCTATTTTTTTGGCTAATTCTAAAACTTCTTTTTCTGTTACGTTTTTAGTCCCGTAAAATATATTGTATGTCACAGTATTATCGAATAAGAACGTGTTTTGTGTTGCATATGATATTAAACTTCTGTAACTTCTATCCGAAATATTATCTATTTCTGTATCATCAATTAATATATCTCCATCATATTTATAAAATTTCATTAACAATTTTATTATTGTACTTTTACCTGTTCCATTTTTTCCTATAATAGCAACACGCTCCCCTTTATTAATAACGAAATTGGCATTCAGTAAAATAGGCTTATTTAAATAACTAAAAGATACATTTCTAAATTCTAGCTTTTCATTAAAATCTATCAGTCTTATTTTATCAGTTTGTGTATCCTCTTTAAACTCGTAATATCCAGACTTTGCATTTAAAAATCCTTGTACATATCTTGTGTATAGCATTCCCATTTCGCTCAACGAATTTGTCAACGTTTTACTAATCGAAATATAAAAGACTAACTGTTGAGAGGATAATTTAATCGGAAAATATCCAAAAGATCCTAATGTGATAATAATAATTGCCTGTATCGCAAATGTCATTTTTTGTATATATAAAAGAGAGAACAAAATTCTGTGAGACTTTACCCCAAAATATTCTACCGGTTTTTGATTTTCATCAAAATATGTAATAGTTTCTTCTTCCATATTATAGGCTTTAATTGTTTCATGATTAGCTAAAAAATCTTGTAATTTATTCGATAATTTATCCTGTGACTTATTATATTGTCTTCTAATATTGTTTCTCCATATTGAAAATACAAATGTAAAATACACATACAAGGCACTTGTAGCCAACATTACGTAGAGTGCATCTCTTCCCAAATTTTTATATACTGAGAAAAACGACATAATAACTACAATACAGGTTGGTACGGCCGAGAGAGTAGTTAGTTCTAGTATGTCACCATATGCTCTACTTTTCCGCTCTATAATCATTTGTATCTCTCCACTTCCTATTTTGTTAAAATTTTCTAAGTTTAATGAAATGTAATGATAAAATGCTTCAACTCCAACAATTTTATATAAAAATTGTATTGGCCCGCTAAACACAATATCATTAATTTGTCTTAATACTATTGATGAAGTTAAAAATAAAATATATTTAAATATACTTTTTCCTGCATTTATTTTATTTTCAAAATCTTCTGCAATTCTTTTTGATATGTTACTTGCCTGAACTTCGAGATAACAAGCTATAATTGTAGACAGTAATATGGGAAACATTACGTACCTTATATAGGAAATATTGTAACAATATTTTACAAATGTATCATATAAAATTTCATAATTGGTTTTTTCCTTCATTAGGGTTTTTTTAAAAAAACAAATAATAACAAACAAAAAAATCTTAAATTAAATAAAAATTTATTTTCTTATAATTAAAATATTTGACAAATAAAACTTATTATAGCTCTAAATAAAGAAAACGAAATATTTTTTGCAATTTTATTTCCTTGCTTTTGTATCTAAAACTAAAATTGCAGTTTTTCTAATATCTACAACTTATTTTCAAATCTAAATTTTTATCTATGTAAATGTGTTTTAATACACTTCTCGCAGCAACGTATTAATTTATAGTTATATCGTTTCTACAGAGTCATAAATTAAATTAGTAAAAGCACCTTAAAATTTATCGAAAAAAACGTTAAATTTTTAAATAAACAATTTTAATTAAATAATATCAAGACATAAAGGATTATATTTACATGTGTTGACAAATCTTTTTAGACTTCATTGTGTAGCTAAGTCTAAAATGTAATTCCTGGCTATTCTAAATCTACTATTACATTTTATCTTGCATGCTTTTTACTTTAACAGAATCAATAGAGAAGCATAGATATAGATTAGTAAACTATTAAACCAAATCAATTTCTTCAACTACCATAAAGGTTGGTCTACCATGTGGACATTTCCAGGGTTTTTCTAAGTCCTTCAATCTTTTTACAATTTTCTCTAGTTTAGCTTTATTTAATGAGTCACCCACCATTACACTCATTCTACAGGCTTTTGATGCCATAATTTTCTGAATTTTAGTCAGGCCCTCTCCCCCATTTTTAAAATTATCTAATAGCTCATAAAAATCATTTAAATTAAATTCTTCTCCTTTAAAAACCGGCACAGTTAGCAGTTTCATATTTTCTATGTCAAATCCATAGATGGAAAAACTTACAATATTTTCTTCTACAAACAGTTTGTCTATCGGCGACAACTTTAATTCAATTGGCACTAAAACTTTTTGTTTTAATATTTTTGTATTTTTCTTTATATTTTCATAATTAAATATTTCATCTGCCGCATGTTGATCAACAATTATCAAGTATATTTTATCATTCTTAACCAATCGCGTAATAATAAATCCTTTGTTGAACTGTCCAATAATTTCCATGTCAAAAAAATCATTTTTTTTTAGAACTAAAGAAATTTCGCATTGTTGCACTTGCTTGATAAAATCATATGCTGTTTCTTGTAAGCAGATTGTTTTTCCACTGCTTTCGATGTTAAAATTTTCATTTGAAGGAGAAACTGGTACTTCATAAATAGGCTTTACTTCCGTTTCCTTGACTTCAAATTCTTTGTTTTCATAACTGAGTGAAGATTTAAATTTTTTTGTCGTTGGCGAATTAACGTAAGAACTTTTACAATTTATATCAGAAAAAGGAGATGACAACACATTTTGCTTTACATCCATTATTTTATTATCTACTAAATCTACCACAACCGCCTTATTTTCCTGTACCATTAATGAATTATTTGGCTGAGAGACTAAATTTGTGTCACTTATATATTCTTCCTCCAACAAAGCTTCTGTTTCATTTTCCAGAGATTTATTAATTTCTTCTGCTATGTAATTATCCAGCATCTCTTGTGTACTATCGTTTGTATCTTGTAACGATACAACATTAATGATTTTCTCTTGAGGCCTAAAATTTGATACATCCTGTTTGTTTTCAACCTTGATTAATCTCCCATTTTCAGATATTTTTTTATTTGTTGTGTGATTGTTCTTAAAGACCATTTGATTACTTAAAAAGTTAGTTATCTCTTTTTTAATTTTACCAATTATCTCATCTTCATTTTCAAATAAAATTTCGCTTTTAGTAGGAGATATATTAAAATCAATTGGACATTTTAAAACCAAATAAAACAGCGGCAACCCTTCCTGAAATAAATTGTAAGTACTTTTTATCTCTTTTGATATTTTTTTTGAGGTAACAAATCTTTTACCAAAATAAACTGTTGATTCTTCCTTGTCTTGATTATTTGGAAACATAAAGATAAAAAAATCAGGCATATCCTTTATTAAACATTCATCATAAATGTTGTTAAACTTTGATTTACAATATTCTAGAATATTTTTATATCCACATCCATTAAAAATAGTCGTACCTTTAAATTTAACTTGAAAATGTACATCATATACTTTAACATAAGCCTCTACCAATTTAATTATTTGTTTAACATCCTTCGTTAAAGATTTTTTATTAAGCTTTTTTCTTAATATACAATTATTGAATATATTTGTAACATCTACCGTTGTACCTATTTCTCTTGGGCAAACAGATATATGTCCTGTGTTTATATTTTTTTTATAACCAATTAAATTGTTTTTATGTCTTGAGGTTATTTCTAAACTACACATGTTTTTAATAGAACATAAGGCCAGTCCTCTGTATCCACAATAAATATTTGTAGAATCGGTGTTTAATCCCAATACAAAATACGTAGTTAGTTCTTTGGATGTATATCCTTCATTTCCTACATCTTTAAGGTCCAGTATACCTGTTCCATTATCTTCAACTCTGATCAATTCATCGTCTACAAAGATCTTTATTTCCGTGGCATTTGAATCTAAGGAATTTTCTATCAGTTCCTTCACTATTGTATATGTATTTTGAATATACTGTTGTGACTTTATAAGTTCAGAAGTTTTTTGATCTAAATTTTTTATCATAATTAATTTATAAGGCAAAGCTTTTAAATAAATTGGGCGGGAAAAGATGATTTGAGAGGGAAAATTAAACGTTTATATTATACAGTTAAAGCAAATTATTGCTAAACTCTAGATATTTAATTTATCAAATTTTTAAATAATGATTTTATCAGTGTCAAGTTTTTAAGAGCATTTTTAGCAAAAAAGATTTGAAAATTATTTGTTTATTTTTTTTTTTTTAAACCTTCTTCTTATGCATAAATTATCTGAAGAAATGAATAACATAGAAAAAATTAAAAACATTATTAACGACATAGAATATGAATTTGAAACACAGAAAAATGAAATAGAAAAAGCGATTACATCTTTAAAAGATTTAATAAAAAATGAAAGATTTGATTTCGAAAATAAAAAGTTAAAATCAAATAAAAAATACGCAAATTTAAAAGAATTGTACAACAAGTTATTAGATGAAAAAAATTATAACTTAACACTTATTAATAATGATCAAAATGACTTACTAGCAATTGAAAATGAAAATTTCGATTTGAGAGGGCAGATAGAAAAACAAGAAATAAATAATGCAGAGCTGCGTAGATCTCTTGAACATAAAAAAGTATCGGCAATTGATAGCAAAAAGAAATTAGATTTATTATACAAAAGTAATCAGACAAAAGAATCAAAATTAATTAGTAAAGTTAGTGAGTGTAAAAAATATTTAGGATTGGATTTTAATGTAGTGGAGGGGAATAAGATTAAGGTTTTATTTAATAAATTTTGTAAAGATGAAACATTTGAATGTTATGTAGTTTTAGATTTAAGTGATGGATATAATATAATTGATATTTATCCAAAGGTAATAAACATAGAAAGATATTCTACTAATCTAAAGGACAAAACAAGGTTTTTCGAGTTGATTCAAGATGTTAGGAAAATATTTGTTAAAGAATATTGTAAATGAATAAAGTAATTTTTATTGTAAACTTAAAGGAACGAAAAATAAATGATCATTTTTTATGCAAATAATTTACAAATGAAGGTAAGGATCCCGAGCCTTTGATAAGCCTTAGTAAATTTTTTTCTGCTCTTAAACTCTGCTCCAGTCTTGTTTTAACTTTTTGAGATCTGTCTTCTTTCTCTTTATTTTTAATATACGTTTGCCTAAATGTATGTGTAGGCGGAAAAGAAGGCATAAAATCGTAGATGTGAATATATCTTTCTAGATATGTAGAGAGTGGACTTTTAAATTCTTCAATATTATTTTTTTGTACAGAAGGATACAACACAGGTTTGATGTTGTTTTCAATTTTTAGATTTTTAAAATTCAACAAACTTACAAAGTCCCAAATATTAGCACATTGTTTTCTAGAATGAAATGTATGAGAATTAAGGATTTTGAGAATGCTAGATATATACAAATCTAATGCTTCATTTATAAGCAAAACTGCCTTTTTATCAGCCAGATCAAATCCATTGCAGTTTAGAAACTTTACAATTATGTGATTTATAATTTCTTTCATTTTAGGGTAATTTTTTGAAGAAAAAGACAAACATTTTTAAGTTTTTTTAATAAAATAATTGTTTACAGTGGATGTAACATTTTTTAGTCCTTAGCTATCCAATTTAATATTTAACAATAATAAATTTTAGATTTATAAATAATTTACTATTTAAGGACAAAAATAATGGCAATGCGAAATATCATTTTATACTTTTAAAGCATGTTTATTGTTTATCTTTTCAATTTAAGTTGTTTCTCTCCAGTTAATTTGTCTATTTCAAAGACACAAGATTCATTTATAAATTTTTTTAGTAGTATTTTTTCATCATTATCTAAATGAAAACTAGTTTTAAGTTTCCTTATTAACTCTTTAACAGACATTAATGGCGTAACAAAGCACTCTCTTATTTTTTCATCGGTCAGAACATTTTTGACTCGTTGCTTTGTTTCAATTTTAATAACATCTTCTTTAACATGTTCTTCATATGCTTCATCTTCCCCTTTTTCAAGGTTATCAACTAGATTTCTTAATTTTTTACCTTCTGTAGTCAATTTCTTCTGCTTTTGAACTTCAAAATTATACTCTTCGCCATCATCATCTTGAAATTGATCATCAAAATCAATTTCTTCTCTGTCAGATTCATTAGAACCATCGTGTATTACTTTTTCAGATATTACTTTAGTTATTTCATCTTCATTTACACTCTCCTTAAGTGGTATTTTTTGAGTAAATCTGTACCATTTATTAATAGGTGTAATATAAACAGTGTTGCCTTCTCTTATAAAAGTAAAATAACAAGAACTATTAGAACCAAGATCTTGCAGTTTTCCTAAAAATGACAACGAATCAGCATCTTCTACCAATATTGGACAAGATTCTTTTTTTTTCAATTTTAAATATTCTTCGGCCTCATATTCAACAACTTCACTCCTTTTTCTAGCATTAAAAACAACATCTTCTTCTAAAGGCTTTTCTCTAGAGATTGTAATTGGTGATGAAAGCTTTTTTAAATTTATGTTTGTAAATATACAGTTTTTTTTACCATCTTGTGGAAGATAAACAAGTTTAAATTTTGACATAAGGGATAAAATATAAATTAATTTATTACTTTAAAAGAAGCACTTATTTATTCTATTTGATTGTCAAAACATTTAATAAGAAGAACTTTAAATTAAATATGTTGAAATTTAACATATAGTAGATTTATTTATTATAAAAATATTTGCATATGAAGATGGTTGTAAAAGGAACATGATAATATACAACCCTTACATTGAAGATATTAGTAAATATTTTTCATACTTTTAACAAAGCTAGTATATAAATTTGAATTGACATCATGCAATAAAATTTATGTCTACAAATTTTAAAAACTTTAAATCTTTAAACAAATTCAATAAATTAAGTATAATTTAAGAGAGGAAGAAATCGAAATATATTAATTTTGGTTAAATTTTAATTTTTACACAGATTAGAAATTAGAACTAGAATTTTAATTTTTTAAAAAGTTTTAATAAAGAATTTAATACCTTTTAATTTAAATTGTTGTTGCAATAAAGTTGTTCTATGATCAAAATCTTTTTGTTTGTTTATAAAAAAACAATAAAATTTTTAAGCTTAAATGCCCTTATTAAAAGTTAATGTTAGAAAAAAAATCTATTTATGGTAGTGATATTAGTATTATGAAAGACCTGATTGTAGAATATGTTATTTCAAAGCCCTTTATTCGAACATTTGTCATTTACATAATTTTTGGGACATTTGCAGTTTGTACATTTAATGTTTTAACAGTTGAAGCTACCCGGAAATTGACTAGTGATATTACAGATAATAAAGATCTTAGTCAAAGTCTTTTGTATTTTGCAGTTTTGACAATTGTATCAATTACAATGTCAGAACTTAACAATTTTATATTTGTTACACCCGTTCAACATGTATTCAGACTGACAGGAAAAAATTCATTTAAAAATTTTATAAATATGGAACTTAGTAGATACAATAAAATAGGATGCGGTGAAATACAAACAATAATAGACCGAGAAAGTAAAGCAATAAGTGAATTGATCGAAGTTTTATTTGTTAATATCATAAATATTTTTTTTACAGTTATATTGGCGTGTTCGTCAATTTATACAAATTTAGGGTTGACAAATATGTTTATTATTTTAATCACATTATTAGTTTACATCCTTGCAACTGCGAAAATAGTTCATTGGCGTACAGGAATAAGAAAAGAATATAATTGCGCACAACAAAGATGCTCAAATCATTTACATGATTCTTTAATTAATCATGAGACTATACTAGCATATAAAACAGAAGAAGAAGAATCGCTTAAATATGAAAAATATGTTTCTGAAGTAGAATCAGAATGTAACAGAATCTGGAGATCTCTTAGTTTTTTATACCTTGTAAATAAGATAATTTTTGCTTTACAGTGTTTTATAGTTATAACATTAGGAAACTATGGAATATTAACAGCAAAACTAAGTGCCAGGGATGTTGTATTTTATATTGGCATTAATAGAACATTGTATTCAAGTTTTGGACAATTAGGGTTCTTTTACTCACGATATACACAAGCAATCTTAAATATAAGAACATCTTTTAAACCAGAGCTTATAAAAGAAGAACCAAATTTAGTAGATGTTAATGAATTTAATAATGATATAAGATTAGAAAATGCATCATTTAATTATTACTCCAAAAAAATTTTAACGGACATAAATATTTTAATTAAAAAAGGTGAAAAAGTAGCTATTATTGGAAAAAATGGATCGGGAAAAACATCTCTTATAAAGATGATTATGAGATTTGAAAATTATGGGGGAAATATTTATCTAGATAATCGAGACATAAAAGAAATTTCTAATAGTTCATATAGATCACTTATATCATTTGCACCACAAACCTCATTTTTGTTTAACGAAACGGTTTATTATAATTTAACATATGGAAAAGAAATATTTGATAAAGAAGAAGTTATAAAAATCAGTAAAAAACTTTGTGTACACGATTCTATAAACAACCTAGAGGATGAATACAACACACATGTTGGAGATAAGGGACATAAGCTTAGTGGTGGAGAAAGACAAAAAGTAATTTTGTTAAGGTCGGCACTAAAAAATTCTCCTATTATAATTTTAGATGAGCCAACGGCCGCATTGGACAAAAAAGCTGAATATGAAATTCTTAAAAGTCTAATCTCCAACAACTTAGAGAAGACAATAATTATTGTTTTACATAATTTAGATTTACTCCACTTATTTGATAAAGTGCTAAGTATTAAAAACAAAACTGTATCATTACATAAGATAGAAGAAAATATTATTTCTACATTAAACTTATAATAAAACCTTTACTTTTAAAAGTTAATTTTCAAAGAGTTGAAAATGTTCAGCTTTTTATTCACACATTCTTTTAATAGTCTACGCAAAAGCTATAGTTTTTTTAAACTTAAACTACACGTATTAAAAGGGTATAAATTTTGTGTTAAATCAAAATTGGTATTACTAACTTTAAAAAGATCTAATTTAAAACATAAGGTAAAAGCTCATAGGTAAAATGTAAGTCAAAATATTTTATATAGTAAAATAAAACATTAACTAAGTATAACTTTGTTGTCTTTTTGTTTTTAATAGTTATCAGCTGTAATTTATTTTTTTAATATACAATTTGCAAAAAAAAAAACTCAAATATCTTACAAATAGATGCCGCAAAGCAAAAAGAGGAAGTTACAAACTATTATTTTGTTTGTAGATTTGTCCTATGTTTGTTAAATAGCCTTTTTGTTGTATAAATTAAAAATTGTAAAAAATAATGCAACTTTTTTATTAATACTTTGTATAAAGACCTCCTGTCCTATAAATTAAAAAAATACGATTTTAAAACTCATGTACAACTTCTCGCATGTTTCTTTAGAGATAGATTCCAAGCTGTGCGTATATTCTTTTTTGATCGTTTTTATTTTTTGGCATTAAAGAAGCAGCTTTTTGCTTGAAAATGGCCCAAAGTGTTTCAATTGGGTTCAAGTCAGGCGATTGTGAAGGCCACAGGAGCACAGAAAACTTTTAATCTTCGAAACATGCCTTTGCAAGCCTCGAAATGTACTTTGGATAATTATCTTGCTGAAAAATATCCCACCCCATACTCATTATCTCCGCCATTTCTAAAGGTTGTTCGCTAACATATTTACATATAGTGCGGAATTCATTTTTTCATCAATAAACATCAACCTCCTTGTGCCATGGTCGACCCCCTTCCGAATTTTACACTTGGTATTAAGTTTTTTTTTAAAGAAGACCTGTACCGGCCTTTCTCCATACACTGACCCGTCCATCAGAGTAAAACCTATTAAATTTACTCTCATCTGTAAAGATTATAGACTTTATATCATTGTCAGACAAGACCAACACCTTAGTGGTTTTTTCTCTCCTAAGCAAAATATGCCTTTTTATCAAAAGAGGCTTGTTAATTGAAGTATATGCATATACATTATTATCATTTAGTGTGTTCTTAATGGTCGTGTGAAATATAGTCTTTCCTAGATGTTTGAAAATCTTGTAGTTGCACTTATACAATGAGCTTTTGGATTTTTCATTAAAATTTTCTCTATCTCAACAAAATCCCCGTTTTCAGTTAATTAAGTCCTTCCAATTTTTTTTAGATAATTAAAAGCACCATGTTTATTATTCTTGCGAGGGTTCTACTGACTGTAGTCCTGTGTACACCAAGTTTTTAAGAAATTTGAAACCGAAAGTAATTTTACCTCATAAAGTGTTACTTTTTGAGACTGAGTTTAAAAGGGAAAGTCATGAATGAGGGATATTAAATTTCATTTAAAACATCGTTTTGTAAAGAAAACAAAAATGTCTCGTAGAGACTATTTAAAATGTCATTGTCGTAAAGTGCTACAAAGGACTTTTTTACACTATCATTTAATCACTAATAAATTATGTATTCTAATCTATAATTATTTTATTTTGAGTAATAAGGTTTACATCATTTTTTTACAAACTGTAAAATAGTAATTTTTTGTTTTAAATCAATAAATTATATAAGTTAAAAAGGTAAAGTTAACTAAGCCAAATAATTCATAAGATAGGCATAATTTAGTACAAAGCATGTAAGAATTTGCAAAATTGTATCTTATACCAATTAGTATGTATATTGAATTTGTAAACCGTCTTTTTAAAATATTCTAATGAGTCTAAATATAGCAATAATTAAAACAGAAATTGCAATCATTTCGCATAAAGCGTAAGTTTAATCTTAAACATAAAATTATAATTCTTAAAACATATTTTTATAAAATTAATTTTTAACCGCTTGAAATGAATAACGAGACATGTACGTTGTGTAAAAATATTCCAGCCATTAAAATAAACATTTTGAATTATTGTAAAATGTGTTTTGAAAAACAGTTAGAAAGTAAAGTTCTTAGAAACTTGAATAATCTCCCATATAAAAGCAAGATATTAATTGTGTTACATGAAGATGTATATGACAATATTTTATTATATTTTCTCAATAGGTTAAAAAATAAAAAGATGCATGAATTTATAATTTTTAATCCTCAAAATAAAGATTTCGGTAGCTATAATTTTTTTCAAGTAATAACACAAAACTCAATTGACAATCTACCTAATCTTGACATTAATAACCAGACGACAAAATTTAATATAGATATATTGAATATGTTGCAAAAATCTCATTTATCATTTCACAAGATTTTAATTAATTATAAAATTAATGTTGTACTATATTGTAAATCAATGGAGGACATTTGTACAGATCTAATTATAAAAGTATCTAGTGGGGTTGTGCTTGATAAAACAGATGTATGTGATTATATTTTTCAAGATTCTTGTACATTCATTAACATGTTTAAAGACATAAAAAATAAGGAAATACAATACATGTCTTATTTACAAAGTTATAAATTTAATTGTACGGGAATAAAAAATAAAAAATATAAATCTATTAATAAATTCATTAATGAGATAAATAAAAACAATCCGTTGGCATTATACAATATTATTAATGTAGTGAAAAAGATTAATAAACGGATATAGTTTTAATATAAAATTTAATAATTATTTTTTTATTTTAATACACGTTTCAGTTATAAAACAACGTTTCATCAAAATTATATAAAATTAAAGAAAATAAATTAAAAACAAATGATTAAAATGTATGCACTACATTTCCTATGTTACTCCTTAATTTATGCAAGGAGGGAGGCGACAAGTACAGATGACTTTGTAAATCATAATACTAGTGGAAATGATATTTATGAAGATGAATATGGGCTATTTCCTGAATATGCTTTGACTAAAAAAGATTCTGAGCCTTTGGATGACACACTTAGATGCGCAAAAACGGATAATACATTTATTATTGCGCTTAATGTTCACTTACAGAAATATGCAGTGGAGTCGATTGAGAGTGCATCGAAATCTAAATTAAATATGATTTTGCCCCCAAAAGAATCTATACTGAGTTATATTGGTACTATTGTAAATGAGATAAATAGTGATTTAATAAGGTATGGTGTACAAATGGTAACATTATTACAAAGATACAAAACAGAGGATTTTGTAGTGACTGATTCGTTTGACTCGTCATGCGAAATTAAAGATCCTGTAAGCGACAGGCTTGATGAAAGTCATAATCAATTGAAAGATGTTTATCAAGACAATATGGGACTACACTTGTTTGTATGGACATGTCCACAGGATAATAAAGATTTTTTGACGATAAAAATTAATGAAAATGAAAGATGTGGAAGAACAATTGGTGTGTTATGGCAGGGAATAGAACTTACAAGAATTAATATCAAATCTTCTATAATGGAAGCAATTACAGGAATACCAAATTTATATTTAGATGGTAAATTTCCAGCGGAAAAGGTAATTTCGAATATTTGTAAATTTGTAGGTGATTGTATTGGATCAGAACCAGGTGTCGTAGGTTGGAAAAATCAAGCCCTAGTACAAGTAATTCATGCTATTCCGGACAACTCACATGAGGAATAAAATTTTAATTTATAGAAGTTATACTTTTTAATAAATAAGCATAAAGTACTTGTAATATAAAATTTATTTATCTACTTTTGCATCATATAATGCATTAGCAAGTTTTATGTTAATAGTAATACATTTACTTTCTTTTTCTAGCATTCTTAATAGTATGTCACATTCACTTAGATTTTTTTTCAATTCTTGAATTATTTTTTTCATATGGGATTTAAAAATTTATTTTTCTGTCCTTATGAATACCTTTAGTAAAAAGTTAGAAAGAGATAGAATACATTCACATGTCTTAAAAAAGGATACATTGGATTTATTAAACCAAAAAAATTATAAAGAAGCATTATTAAATATAGTAAATCTTCTTAAGCTAAATAAACCAGGTCAGACTTTTTTAATAAGAGGACCTAGTGGGTGCGGTAAAACAGCTTTGATTGCAGATTTATATAAAGAACAATATTTAATAAATTCTATCAGTGCTGTAGAACTACAAAGCTTTAATCTTAGTAAGGCAGAAGCAGTTACACAGGCTGTTCGTAAATCAATAAGATTACGTATTAAAGAAATTATTAAGGTAATAGAAGGTGAAATAACAAATCTTACGTCTTCTAAATTAAGCCTTAAGACTTTAGATATGGAATCGACTTTCGAGATTGGCGATAAAATGTTACAAGAAATACAAAAAGAAAAAATTGTCATAGGTGATGTAGTTCGTATAATAAAAGAGAGAGGAAAGATAATCAAATTGGGTATTAGTGCATCAAAAATGGATTCAGAATTTATTGGCGATATTCTTTCGGTGCCATGTCCTGAAGGTGAAATGTTTAAAACAATTGAAGATGTCCAATTAATGACTTTACACGATATTGATTGTTTAAACAATAAAACACATGGTTATTTAGAAATTTACAATGGCGAAACGGGTGAAATTAGTAGTGAAGTAAGAAAAGAAGTTAATAAAAGAGTAAAAAAGTGGATATTAGAAGAAAAAGTAGTGCTTGAGAGAGGATTATTGATTATAGATAATGTTCAAATTCTTCATAAAGATTATTTTTACTTATTTAATAATTCCATTGAATTTACTTTTGATCCTGTAATTCTTATGATCGAGAATGTTACAGACACTTTACAGAGTTCAACTGGTTTATTAAGTTCAGCCTTTGTTATAAATGTAGACCAAATAAATGATAATGATTTAAAAGATGTTATACGGGCACATATCGAAACAGAAAATGTTGATTTTGACTCAAATGTTCTTGACTATTTAAATGATCTCGCATTGTCATATGGCATTAATTATGCTATTAATATTATTGATCTATATGTTGTAAAGAGTCTTAAACAAGCAAATACTAAAATTGCATTAGAGGAAGTTAAAACATTAGTTAGCTTGTTTCTTGATGTAAATCGTGCTTGTGATACTAATTAAATACTTTTTTTACTTTACTAATTTTAACAGTATTCTTATAATTAATAAATTTTTTGTAGATACTTGTAACTTTTATAAAAATCTTTAAAAATATTGTTTTTTAATTTTAAACTAAAAGATTAACCTCTTTAATTATCTTTATACTTACTTATCAATGTTTAATATTTATAAATGACACTTTAACAAAAAGTACTTTTCTATGCCTAATATGCTACTTTATTATTTACCAAAGATATTAAAATTACTTTAATACAAATAAATAGCACAAATGTAAGTAAAACGTTATATATTGAATAGTTTAAAATTAAAAAAATTTAATAAATATAATATGCCTGTCAATAAAACATAATTACTCCTCCCTTCTTTTTGCATGAGCTTAAACTACAAAATATTTAAATTATTCTTTAAAAGATAATTAGTTCTTAACATAGCTTGTATATGAATTTTAATAGAGATTGCATAAAAAGATGTGGCTAAAATAAAAATTTAGTCGTTATAATATTTATTTATAAAATATTTAACATTATAAATTATTTAATAATGTTTAATTCTACCTTAATATCATCAAAGTAAACAAAAAATAGTAATTTATATTTTAAATTAACATAATTTTGCTTTAAATATTCTAATTATTAAATTTACCTTTGCATAATAAAAGCATTCTACGCACTGTAAATTTATTAAAAAAATATTTAAGAAGGGCATGAATGAAATAAACATTGTAGAAAAAATTTTTAAGGATTTGGATTTAAGTGAAATAAAAGAAAGTGAAGAAGGAAGAATTTACTCAATTAGTGGACCAGTTGTAATTGGTAGAAATATGTCAGGATGTGCCATGTATGAATTGGTCAAAGTAGGAGAAGAAGGTTTGATAGGTGAGATTATAAAAATAGAAAATGATAAAGTCACTATACAAGTTTATGAAGAAACAAGCGGTCTTTGTGTCAATGATATAATTGTTAGAACTGGGAAACCTCTTTGCGCAGAACTGGGCCCAGGTATGTTTGAAAATATATATGATGGTATACAAAGACCTTTAAAGGATATACATCATGTCACAAATAATATTTATATTCCACGTGGGATTGATGTACCGGCTCTTGATAGGAAAAGAGAGTATGATTTTATTCCTACTGTTGAAGAGGGGCAGATTGTTTTTGGTGGTGACATTATCGGTGAGACATTTGAAAATTCGCTGATTAAAACTAAAATATTAGTGCCACCAAAAATGACAGGAAAAATAATTTACATAGCATCTAAAGGTGTTTATACACTGCAAGATGTTGTAGCAGAAATAGAAAGTAATGGAATAAAAAAAGAAATTTTTATGTTTCATAGTTGGCCTGTTAGAATACCAAGACCTATTAAGGATAAAATAAATGCATCACATCCTTTGTTTACCGGGCAAAGAATCCTTGACTCTTTGTTTCCATGTGTACAGGGTGGTACTACTGCCATTCCAGGTGCATTTGGATGTGGTAAAACTGTAATATCACAATCATTATCTAAGTATTCAAATTCTGATGCTATTGTTTATGTTGGATGTGGAGAAAGAGGAAATGAAATGAGTGAAGTTCTTATGGAATTTCCAAAACTAACAGTAGAAGGAAAAACAGATAGTATTATGAAAAGAACTGTTTTAGTAGCAAATACTTCAAATATGCCTGTGGCTGCAAGAGAAGCTTCTATTTATACTGGAATTACTATATCAGAATTTATTAGAGATCAAGGTATGAATGTTTCAATGATGGCAGATTCTTCTTCTAGATGGGCCGAAGCTTTAAGAGAAATAAGTGGTAGATTAGCAGAAATGCCAGCAGATAGTGGTTATCCTGCATATCTAGCTGCTAAGCTTGCATTTTTTTATGAAAGGGCTGGTGCTGTTACTTGTTTAGGTTCACCTAATCGAACAGGATCTGTTACAATAGTAGGTGCCGTATCTCCACCTGGTGGGGATTTTAGTGATCCTGTTACATCTGCAACCTTAGGAATTGTTCAAGTATTCTGGGGATTAGATAAAAAACTTGCACAAAGAAAGCATTTTCCTTCTATAAATTGGAATTTAAGTTATTCTAAATATTTTTCTAGTTTAAAACCATATTATGAAAAGATAGATCCTAACTTCATTAGACATCGTACTAAATGCAAAGAAATTTTGCAAATGGATGATGATTTATGTGAAATTGTTCAACTAGTAGGAAAAAATGCATTATCTGAAACAGAAAAATTGATTTTAGATATTTCAAAATTAATAAAAGAAGATTTTTTGCAACAAAATGGATATTCTGATTACGACAGGTATTGCCCATTCTTAAAAACAAGATTAATGCTAAAAAATATTATTGAATATTTTGAAAAAGCCCAAAAAATAATTGCTGGAAGTAAACACACTTGGGCTGACATAAAAAAACAGACTGAAGACATTTTTTACCAATTAATGAAAATGAAATTTTTGATGCCTGATCAATACTTAGAAAAAAAACTTGATGAGTTGTATTTAGAAATAACAAAAAGTTTTAATGAGTTTTCTAAATAAAAGATTATAGCTAATTATTTATTAAAAAAACCCGGCATCAAGATTTTTATCGTTAGTTGCATTTTCAACTCCCATCTCTTTGCTTAAACTGTTCTTGTTTTTTTTCAGCTCCTTGTTTAAACCACTAATCGAAGACTTTAATAATTTAAGTTCTGGACTTTCTACTTGTTTTATTTTTTTCGAAGTGGTTTTCTGATTCGGAACTACATAATATTCTTTGTTAAATATTTCATCTAACGTATCTTCAGGCAGAACCTCATCGTCAAATAAATTATTAGAAGAATTTGTTGGGACATTACTAGTAGTTGGTTCATCAATCTCTCTTATTTCATTACTAGTTTCATTAATAACTAAAGGCATTTTTTTCTCTTCCTTAGAGTCAAGTTTTTCATTTTTATCATCATTATTTAAAATTTTTTCCTTCGTAACAGATTCATGTTCTTTTTTACTTGTGGAATTGTTTTGCTCTTGTCTTTTATCTGTTGTTTCATTGTTTTTTAAGATCTCTTTATCTGACATTAATGATTGTAAGTTCCTATTTATTTCTGGTTTGTAGGCTTCTTCATTTTTATCTGCTACTAACTCGTTATTTTTTGTTTCTTCATTCATCCTCTCTTCTATAATTGTTGGTAACTTTTTATTGTTAATTCGTTTATACTTTTCAGAGCGATTATTATTTTTATCGATTCTTATAGGAGAAGTGTTAGATGTAAAAATTAATTCTTTTTTACTTTTATTTATGTCTTTATAGTTAGCTAATTTATCTTTAGATTTTATAGTTATTTTACTTGTATCATTTAACATCTTATCATCCATTATAAGTTGTTCATGCTTGGTACTTTTTGTAATATCTCCTAAAACATCATTGTCGTCTTGCTTTGTCTGCACAACTTTAGATGTTGAAGAAGGTACACTTTCAAAAATACTGTCTATAGCTTCTGTTATAGCTTTTGTGTCCTCTTTTGATATTTTTGGTTTTATTAAAATTTCTGATTTTATTAATGCATCATCTACCTTGTTTTTTTTATCTTTTTTTATAGCTCTATCAGAACTAAAAATGGTTTTGTTTTCGTCATTCATAACTTTTACAGAGATTTCCGTAATTGAACTGGGTAACGATTTATTTATTATTTCTTTCTTTTTTTCTGTAAAAAATATAGGTCGATAATTAGCATCGTGTGAAGAAAAATCTGTTAGATTGGGAATATTATCGACAGGAATAATGGCTTCATCTACAGATTTTTGAATAAACCCTGTTGTTTTGGGTTTTTTGTTTTCAATAGAGACTTTCTCTTTTGTTTGTACTTCTTGTTTACTGTTTGCTGCCTTTTTTTCTGGTAAACTTGAAAATGTTATCAAACTTTCGTTTGATTTAATTGCTAAAGAATTATCCATGCTCTTTAAGGTTGGAGCTAAATTTGTTAATTCTCTGCCAAACAAATTATTTTTTTCTTTACTACTACTGACAGATGAAGATGATTTATTAACTTCTCTTTCATTCGAATTTCTGTCTAAAGGCCAGCTCTCAAAGTTGAGATGAAAGGTATTCATATAATTATCTGTATCTCCATTATGTAATTCTTTATTACTTGGAAGTTTCGCGCCTGAAAACAAATTATAGCTACTAAAAGTTGGCGCCTGAGAGATTTCTTTAATCATTGTCTCATCCTTTTTCTTTTGTAATAAGCTATTCTCTCCTTTTAGATTAAAGCTTTCTTTTGTTCTAATCTTTGGATTTAAAATTTGTTTACTAAAAGCATCATCTTTTTTTCTGTCATTTGAGTTATTATCCGATAATTTATCTTTGTATGTGCCAAATTTAGTATAATTTTGAACAATTGCTTCCTCGTTTGCTTTACTTTTTTTTTCAGTCTTACTTAGTAAACTATTAATCTTTTCTTCAAGCTTTTCGATTTTTTTGTTTATCAAAGCCAAGAAGTGTAAATCTGAAGTCTTAGAAGAAATATCTGATTTCTTTTGATCTTTAGTTAAAAGATGATTACTCAAAGAATTTCTTCTCTTTGATATTATATCAAAACTAAGTAAAAAAATTACTAGCCCTGTTATAGTGGTACCAACTAAAAGACTGCATGTTGTACTTTTCATTGCATAAACAAAAATTTTAAATTTATAATTTTTTTTGAAACTTTGTTTTAAAATAATTTATTTAAATGTTAGAAGTGTAAAGTTGCTATAAAATAAAAATTTCTGAACTTTTCTGAATAAAATTATATTTATTTGTCTAAAACATTGTTTCAAAAGTTTATTTGTTTTAAGGTTGGTTTTTACTCAAGTTAAAATTTTATATACCATCTTCTTAGCAGATTGTACAGCATCACTTATATTTCCAAATGGAATGTCACACCACCCTATTTTATAAACAGGTTTATCTGTATTGATTTTTAATTGATTTGCTTTAAATCCAAAGCTAGTAATAATAGAGTCATATTTATGTTCACATCCATTATTAAATTCTACAACATATTTACCATTAATTTTTGTTACTTTTTTTATAGATGTATCAAAAAATAAATTGATATTATTCTTAGTTTTATCAATTTTAATGTTATTATTATTTAATAAATTATATCTTCTATTTTCTTTAAGGTTAGAAGGTAAAGATATGTTGTGTCCTTTAAAATTTGCTAGATTTAATATTTCTCGCATTACATTATTTCCAAATTTACTTATATACAATCCACCTCTTGAAATAATATCAATTTCATTAACTTTCGTAATTATTTTTCTACAGACGTCTAATGCTACATTCCCCATTCCAATTATGCACACTTTTTTACCTAAGCTATTAATGGAAACTTTGTTTTTTATAATATCAAGTGCATTAATGTAACTTGAATTTTCATTAAAATTTGGAACACCACCTATAGCAAGCACAAATTTATCATAATAAGGCTCTATTGTCTTAAAATTTGATTCGGTTATTTCAAAGTTTGGTTTAAAGTCTATATTCTTAGTATTTAAGATATTTTTAAAAATATTAAGTTTTGGGTTGTAGGAGTAATTATACATTCCTCCAAATGTACCAGATTTTTCATATATTGTAATTGAATTGGCGTGTTTTGATAAATATTTTGCTAAAAATAAACCAGATGGCCCTCCTCCAATGATCGCAACTTTCATTCAGCGGAAAATAAGATCAAAAAAATATATTTTTTCAATGAAGTAAGACTGAAAGTTTTAGTATTAAGTGTTAATAACTATATTTTCATTTAATTAAATAATTAACATTTATGATGTACTAATTATTAAATTTTATGTAAAAAATTACCAAACTTATAAAAAAATAATTTTTTTCTAGCTTGTGTCGCTTTTTGACTTTAAGTTATTTTTTACTTTGGTAAACAGAATATGTTTAATAACTGTAATAAATAAATTTATTTAGGTTCTAAAAAGTTTTCTATTAATTTTAAAAGGTTCGATTTCGACTAGATTCTCGAATAGCTTTTGTTCTCTCTGCATTTCAACCTTCACTTCTTCTATGTTTTCTATAGAAGTTAAGCATTCTCTGTGGCTTTCCATGGTCAAGATTTCTATTGCCATTTTAAGCACTTTTGATTGTAAATAAGCCTGTATTCGGTTATCTAGTCGAATCCAATATCAGTTTGTACTGTTTATAAAATTTCGTTAATATAACATCTCATGTCGTCCACGTACGAGATAATTCATGCGTTGTATTTATAAAAAGATCTGTACGGTTGGCTAACAAATTGTACTTATGCTTTTTCTCACACTCTACTGTTCTTAAACTTTTGAAGGAAGTTATTCAACTTCGATTAAAAAAAGGATTTTTTTTCTATTTTTTCTGGTACAAATACATCTGGTTTATCGTAAATAACTGTACATGTTTTTAACTATCGATCTGCTATTAAGAGAACCTTTGATTGGAACTTTACTCAAAAATGCTGTTCAATTTAATAACTTAATTATAAATAGCAGAAGCATAACATTTTAATAAATAATTTTATATAGTAATTAATGCATTAATATATTTAGGAGTAATTTACAGTTTAAATACTTTAATGCATTTAGGTAAAATGTTATGCTGTTTAACCTATTTATTAATAATTTTATTAAAAAAGTCAATTCTAACATCTCAATACTTGTATCAAAACCTGATGGATTAAAAACTTTAAATTCTAAAATTATGTTTTAAAAATACGAATAACAATATATATAAGAAAAAAAGAAATATAAAATTTGTATTTTGACGCAGATTTATTCTACTTTCGTAAGCTTAGCATCCTTAGACATAAAAACATGACCTTTGCATGTATTCAAAGAATTATTCAAATTTGTAAAAATAAAACACAAAAACAAAAACTTTCTATATCTTCTAAATACAACATGTAGTATAATTAAAAGCTTTTTTATACATCAATTGTAATTTAGAGTCATTAAATTTATTTTAATAAAAATACTTAATAGTGTATAAGCGTTATTAGTTGCTATCACTTAAAGATTTATCTTAAAATGATGCAAAATATGCCTTAAATTTTTTGAATAAAACAAATGAGACATTAAACTAACAATAATACTTATTAAAAAGATAAACTTGCATTTAGTGTAATATTAATACAAAAATTATAGAATTTTCACCAATCATTTTAAACTTCAAAATGAGTTCAAAACGTAGATTTAATATAAAAAACATTCTTTATTGGCTTTTTCTATTAAAATAATAAAAACATACTTTTTTAGATTCATACAACTCTAATCAGTTAATAATATAAATTAATGAATATTTTATCTTATAGCAATTAATGTTTAAGATAAATTGTACGGAAAATTATTATTAATTTAAAAGATTTATGAAAGATAATTTTTATTTTTATTCGAACAAAACATTAAAAGTTTAAAAAAAAAATGAATAAATTTTTAAAATAAAAGATAAAAAAAGCGTTTGTATTATAAATTAAAATCTATTTTAATCAATATCTTCCCAAAAATACATTTATTTAACCCATACATGGGCATCACTGGCTTGCTACCAATT